TAGGCCTCCCCCATAAATTGTCAAGTAGCTGGATATTTGCTATAGTGGCGGGTTGGCAACCGCAGCTATTATTATTTTGATCTGTTGTCAAGAAGATGATGCAGATCATACCATCTACTATTTTTTTCCTATGTCGCCTCTTACGACGGGACGATATGATGTGTTGGATTTTCTTTCACCGCCACAACAGTCCCAACATTTTTCTATTCCCGTTCATGAGTGTAGTGTTCTTCACGTTCACTGTGTATAAAATTTATAAGGAATAAAAGTAATTTTAAGGATTTTATCGCGTATTTTAAATTTTTAAATTCCCGATGGTTTGGGCAATTTACAGCACCCATGGTCACGGGAGGGGTGGCAGAACTGAGGTGTTTGACGACCTGATGTCATAGTTAAAATAGAATAGTTAAAATGCAGTAGTAGTTTGAATTTAATTTTATTAATCATGGAGTCCTTAGCAGATAGTAGCACTCAGCCGTCTTCCCTATTAAAATTGGGATATTTTTAATTTCAATAGCCTCGCGAATCATCATTGGTAAGATTCGGTGTTCTATTGCAAGGATTTGTTGTATATAATGGTTGAGACGATACTAAACATGTTTACATACTTTACACTTCCCGGAGCTTCGGTGCTTTCATTCGGTGAGGAGTCAAGATGCGTAAAAAACCCGTAACATTAGTTTTAATCCATGTGTGGTATTCATTATTATAGAACTGTATTTATGAAATTTTCAAGTCTACTCGAAGTAAATAAAAATATCTCTATCTTTTTATGGTGCCAATCAATATTAAATAGGACCAATGATATGAATAAAATGTCTCAAATAAACATTATATTACTTTGTTAAAACTAAATTTACTTTAACTATGAATATACGAGTATATATGTAAAGAGTAAAATGTAAATAATAATAATACATTTTGATTTCAAGAGTATTTACCTTTCTTATGGATACATCGGATTCGGAAGACACGCCATATATAAAAAATAGTAGGAGTTTCTAGACATATTATAAGTATATTCACGTGTTTCTGTAGCATGTTACCAATCATCTACGTCTAATAGTATATTAGAATGAAAAAAAATCTCTGACAGACATAGAGACATAGACTCTAAAAGTGATCGAATATTTCTAAATTCGACACGGAACAGCATTTAATGATGTCCCTAAATTCAAGCGCACGCGAGCGAAGCCGCGGGTAAAAAGCTAGTATTAAAATATATTGGTTCTCTCCGTTCTTATCGGGTGGCTAGGCGTCGTTCGAGCTGAGTCGAGTGTTAAATTATTATTTTATTTTTTCATTATCTATAATACTATGCGGCAATGCGTCTAAATAACATGCTATAAAATTATTATTTTTTTATTATCTCTTAAAACAATGTGTCCAAATAACATGCTATAAAGACCAAAGTATATCTTCATAAAACTGTCGTGATGATAAAGTAACTTTCGTTCTTGAGGATTAATATGCCATGCCCAATAATAACTCTCATAAATAATTTGTTTTATTGCCAATATTTATATTAATTCGATTAAAAATAAATAAATCAAACCACAGATATCAACTGCACAGTTTGCTAGTCTCCGTTAAGTCTGGCCGCCGTAAGCGAGATTCGATCTGGAGGATATTATAGTTAACTAGCTGGCACCCGGCGTGTTGCTGCCGCAAAAGAAATAATTGTGGAGATATTGTTTTAAAATTTGAAAACTTATATAGTAAAATTATGAATGTCAATACATTAATTGAAGTTGAATGGTATACCTACCTATAACTTTCAAATGAATTTGTCGGAACCATAAGCGCGCCATCTACTGTAAGTTTATTGTAATGTGCCAATAAGTGCAAGCAACAACGCAATGTGATGCACGGTATGGCAGCGCATAAATTACGAGCAAACAAACATTATTTTGTTAATTTTTTTTTATAGTATAGGGTGACAAACGAGCACACAGTCCACCTGATGGTAAGTGGATGCTGTGGCCCATAGACATCTACATTTATCCTCGTTTGCGAATCAAAATGCAGTTACGTTGTCACGCGTGAGGACTAAGATGGAATACCCCGTTTCCAGTAAAAAGGGTCTCCGGTTCTCTACGCTCAACATACGAAACACAGCAGCATGAAGCTGCTATTTGACGCTTGTATTCTGTGAGAGCGTGGTCCTTCCCCGGTCGAGCCGAGCCATTCGTGCTACAACTTACGATACTACTAATATAGCTGCAGCGTGGTTCTACATATAAATTACTGTGTGATCTGTAGCCTTCTTTGTTTGAAGATGGCTGCAGGTGTCCATGGACTGCATTAGCCACTTACCGTCAGGTGTACTGTAAGTGTGTCACTTCTTATACATTTAAAAAAAACCACAATTATCGAGGTCACAAGGCCGTAATTTATATTGACCTTGGTCGATGGAGTAATGTCTGATTTTATCTAACTTTTACGGTATTGTGTTTGTCTTGATAGCCTTGTTTAGTTTCCGATAGCGTCGCGTGGAGTTAATCAATGGATTTGTTTAGCCTTGGAGCGTTTGGTTTTTATATTTTATCAACATATGAATTATTTATGTAGTTGCTATCAACCTATAGCAGTCCTGGAATATTTTATAAAGTACTAGTGAAGAAATAATTGTCGAAATATCATTTTAAATTTGGGAGAGTTGTATTGTTTAATTAGGAATGATAATTTCTTGTACATACAACTTTATAATTTGTGTGATAATTCATTCACTGAAGATGTATGATGTATAACCACAGAGTAAAGGTCCGTTTCTTTACTCGTGTGATATAACTTTCAAATAAATTCGTTGGTACGATACGATACGATACGATACAATAGGTGGTGCGCACCACCTATTGTAAGTTAATAATTGTACTATGCCTATAAGCAATAAGTTGACAAACTTTTACCGCAATCTGATGAACGGTATGGCAGCGCATAAAATACGAAAAACAATAATTTAATTTTATATAATATTAGATAATAGTCCTTTCATGCAGGGCTTGGAAACGTTATTAAAAATAACGTTTTTGAAACGTTTGGGACGGTTCCTTGTATAACATTTTGTTCGGAACAAAAACGAAATGCGAACGTAATGCGGTAATGTGAAAACGTAAAATTGGTTTATTCCCCAGAAAGTTAAATGAATGGCACGTACCACGACAATTTTAAACCAATAAGGTATTTTTGTTTCGTATTGCAGGGCCAAAAATGAAAAAAAAACGGTTAAAAATGGTTGGTAAATTAAAAACGTTTTATTGAACAAGAACGATTTAAAATTTCGTCCCCTTATAAATGTTTTTATCATAGATTAAATGATAAGTCATCGCGGAGCGCGCGATGACGTATCATTAATCTATGGTTATTATTACGATTCCGTTCAAACATAAACGAAACAAATAAGTGTTTAGGTATAAATATAAAACGTTTCGAAAAATATACCGTTATCCGAGCCGTGCTTTCATGGAAGATGGTGTTATCGATCTTTTTAAATTACTTAAAAAATGAGGTCCTCAATTTGCCTAAAGTTTTTTTTAATTTATGCTACGCGATATCTTTGCTGATTATGAAGCGATTTTAATGATTAAGTTTTTGTTGAATTGATTCTTAGAATTATAGAAGTCTAGAATTTGAAATTGAATGATGTCTCTTCGAAGCAGACGGGTGATACTTGATCTGTGTTTCTTGCATCAAATAATATGTTCCAAAATAGAGTGCAGTTAGCTACTTGAACGGGTTACCCATTACTTTAGTTTAATGATATGTCATCGCCGATGACTTATCATTAATCTAAGCCCATTACATGTTGCAATTCTTCTCGAAAAGCATTTCACATCTTTCGCTAGAACGCATCTTGGTAGGCATGCTCCTATGGTTCGCATATGTGCGAAATATAATGAAATGTCTCGAGGTATACCTGCTATACATCGACATATTCCACTCAAAATTCAACTCTTATAAAACAAAAACAACAAACCTGTAAATGCCTTAAAAAAAAAACTCGCCGATCATCTATCGGTGAGTCCTCATATATATTGAAAACTATATAATATAGGTATGTCCTTTTTTACTTTTTCCTTTCTCAATGTTTTACATGTATTTGTTGATGAATGTTACAATTTGGTTTACAAATAAATTATCATCATTTATAATAGATATAATAGACAATTGAAGCGTCAGTAGCCTAATGAGAGGACTACGAACTCGAAACTTCGTGGGTTCGAATCCGCCATTCGACTACTGTCGTGAACCACTTCTAACACATGCATTTTAAGCTTACCCGAAGTGGTTAAAGGGAATATTAGAAATGTTTAATAGCATTACTAGTATTTAAGAAAAATAGACTTAAAGTAGTGATTCCACGCGAGCGACGTCGCGGGCGCAGCTAGTGTTTAATATGTTTATTGTAAGTGTGCTTATGAAATAACTAAATAAAGTACTATTCCCATCCCTAATGGTGGAAAATAGGAATGAAACTTTTAATGTTATTTTTATAAAATAAGGGTGATGTGCACAGTCCACCTGAAGGTAAGTGGATGCTGTGGCCCATAGACATCTACATCTATGCTCGATTAAGGATTAAAATGCAGTTGCGTTGTCACTAAGACGGAATAAGACTAAGATGGAATGCCTCGTTACCAGTTAGAAGAGTCCACACTCACCGTACGAAATTTGCATTGAGCTGCTATTTTAGTAATACCAAGTATATCCATTTCACCACCTTTTTATAAACGCGCTTTATTGTCTGCATGTTTGTCTGATCGGTATAAATTGCGCTATGGATTCTAAACTAACTTCCCGATTAATTAAAAACTCATTTTAACTGTATGACAGGCTAGAAATATTTTTTTAATACACCACGTTTATACTTTCATACTCTATTATAAAAACGTTGTATATTAAAAAATATTTGGAAACATTCGCCGTTTGTATCCCTTTATAATGAAGGGAAATAATTAAAAAAATAAAATATATAATAATAATCCTGGACAATCTTTCAGGGAAGATATCTTCATCACATCGAAGCTCTGGTGTACCTTCCACCGGCCGGACCTCGTGGAGGGAGCGCTGAAGACCACCCTCAAGAACTTGGGCCTAGAGTACCTGGACTTGTACCTCATTCACTGGCCGCAAGCATACAAGGTAAGGACTTACTAATTTAGACAGTTGATTGGGCTTCTCATGAGGGGGATCACAAATGAATCAATATATCTAGAAACACAGAAACAGAAACAAACTTTTTTATTCAATATAGATTATAAATAATACTTATTGAAAGTCACTCTTTTGTTTAATTACTACTAGTTCGAAAAAAAAATCTTTGAATTAGTTATTATTATCCATAAATTCCTTAATATTATAATAACCCTTTTTATACAAAATTTATTTAAAAATGTTTTGAACTATGAGGAAATCAATCTATACATCTATACATATAAATAAAATTGCAGTGTCTATTTGTAATGTGAAAATTACAGCTTTTTACTAAATGCATATGTAAGTATTTACGGTACTAATAACAAAAATACAATTTTAATGTTTTTGTCTGTCTGTCTGTCTGTTTGTTCCAGCTAATGTCCGAAACGGCTGGACCGATTCTAACAGGATTTTCACTGACAGATAGCTGACGTCACAAGGAGTAACTTAGGCTACTTTTATTTTATAAAGAATTAGGGTTCCGCGCAAAAAAATTAAAACCCCAAATAACACACGGGCGAAGTCGCGAGGAATAGCTATTGGTTATTAATAGTATAGTTGTAGCACGAATGGGTAGGCTCGACCGGGGAAGGACCACGCTCTCACAGAATACCAGCGTAAAATAGCAGCTTAACTCTGCTGTGTTTAGTATGGTGAGTGTAGAGAACCGCAGACCCTTTTTACTGGAAATGAGGCATTCCACCATTAAGGTGTGTTCACGGTTGACTACGCATCTGCATTGTTTTTCGCAAACGAGGATAGATATAGAAATCTATGGTCCTCAGCAACCACTTACCATCAGGTGGACTGCGTGCTCACTTGTCACCCATATCATTCTACCTGTTAATGTGCCAACTTCATTCTTGTAGGAGGGTGATGAATTATTCCCAACGGACGCTGATGGCAAAGCGGCGCCATCACCCGTGGACTTTGTAGATACCTGGAAGGCGATGGAGGCTCTCGTGGACAAGGGTCTGGTGAAGAGCATCGGAGTCTCCAATTTCAACAAGAAGCAACTGAATAGGGTCATGGAGGCTGCAAGGATCAAGCCCGCCGTCAATCAGGTACGTCATTAAAGTCATCTAGCCTTACCAGCAGCTGTTGTATCATCATCATCATAATAATTATAACAGCCCACCACAAGTCCGGTGCTGAGCATAGACTTCCATAGGTTACTACAAAATACGGTCCTAAATCACCTGCATCCATCGACTACCTGCATAAGTCTGCATTCCTCCTATCGGGGACCCCTTAACACAGCGCTTGCCAAGGGTGGCAAATATGGAATATTTCCTTCCTATTAGAGACACAAAAATAGATGCTGCTAGCTGTAAATAAGAATTAAAGATATAATTATGTACTTGGAGCCCACACTTCAGCTATATTGTAGTCGTAGTATGAATGGGTAAACTCGATTGTGGAAGGACCACGCTCTCACAGATTACCAGCGTGAACTAACAGCTGTGTTTCGTATGGTGAGTAAAGAGAAAAAGAGATCCTTTTTACTGGATACGAGGCATTCCCTTAGTCCTCAGGGGTTAGACGTGTAGTTTTTGACTTTTAACCGAGAATTAGATGTAGACATCTATGAGTCGCAGCATCCACTTAAGATTAGGTGGTCTGTTTGCTCGTTTGTCACCCTTATTCTATAAACAAATGTCTAATGAACGGACCTCCCCAGATCGAAGTCCACCCGTACCTGAACCAGCAGAAGTTGTTCGACCACTGCAAGTCCCTGGGCGTAGCGGTGACTGCATACTCCCCGCTGGGCTCCCCCGACAGACCCTGGGCGAAGCCTGGTGACCCCCAATTGATGGAGGACAAGAGGCTGAAGAGCATTGCCGATAAATACAAGAAGACCATAGCGCAGGTCCTCATCAGGTGAGTTGGTAAAACGGTTTAATATCATTATCAAAATCAAGAATGCGTGATTTTTTTGAAGATTTAACATCTTCCAATTTATCATAATATCAAGCGCATTCATTATCATTATCATTATTACAGCCCTTCACAAGTCCACTGCCTCTCTCAAATAATGTTACAAGGCCCAATTCTAAGCCACCTGCATCATCCATTGAGTTCCTGTATAACTTACCAGGTCGTCACTCCTTCTAAAAGGGGCAGCCCGCTTAACTTACCAATACTAGCTTAAAGAAGGTGAATGTTTATTTATTTAAGTATTTGTTATGATCTAATATATAAAAATTCATTTTTGTTTGTTCGTATTTCATGCGCTGCCATACCGTTCATCAGATTGCGCTAAAACTTTGTCAACTTATTGCTTGAGCTTGGTAGGTTATAGGCTTAGTAAAATTAACTTACAGTAGATTTCAATATTATTATCATTCCTAACTAAACAATATAACTAGTCCAAATTTAAAACGATATTTTCACAATAACTTCTGCGGCAGAACGCGCCGGGTACCATGTAGTTATTTATAAAATATTAACTGTGCAGTGGCGGTGTAAAAATATCCACTAACCTATATCTTTCCGTGGGTGTCGTAAGAGGCGACAGAAGGAAATCAAGACATGTGTAGCAGCAGCGTCTTCCTAATAGCCAGTATAAAAGAAATAAACTGCGTTTGCTAATTCACTTGCCAAGCGTGGCATCTATGTTCAGCAGTTGACCTTGATAGGCTGTTATAAAGAATCCTTACATTTATGGATAAAAAAGGGGGCAATTCACATGAGGTCCAAGTGAAACCTTCGGAAAACTAAACTTCGAGAGAATGAGATGAATGCAGAGTATCACCAGTAGGATAGTTGTAGGATTTATGTAATTAAAATATATACAATTTGCAATGAACACTGTATACTGTATTTTTATTTTATTTTATAGCAAATGAGCACACAGTCCACCTGATAGTAAGTGGATACTCTGGCTCATAAACATCTACATTTATCCTTTATTAAGAATCAAAATGCAGTTGCGTTGTCACCCTTGAGGACTAAAATGGAATGGCTCATTTCTAGTAAAAAGGGTCTCCGGTTCTCTACACTCACCGTCCTTCCCCGGTCGAGCCGACCCATTCGTGCTAAAACTATACTACTAATATAGCTGCAGCATGGCTCTATCATGTATAACTAAGGAGTGGAATAATTTGCCAGCATCTGTCTTTACATCTGATTACAATATGAGGCGTCTTCAAGGCAAGAGTAAATTGACCTTTGTTGTGAGCTAAGTCTTCTTTCTAAGTCTAAGTTACTTTGCCTTCTACGGCTGAATCACCACTTACCGTCAGGTGGGATAGTAACCAAGCACTGGCTTATAAATTTTATAACCCCAAATACTGTGGTCCTACCCCGGTCGAGCCGACCCGTTCGTGCTACAACTAACTCGTAACTGCAGCGTGGCTCTACTACGTGTAAAACTGTATACTGTATTATATCTCATTCTCTCGCAGGCTAAATCCTATAAAATACATTATGTTTGTCTTTTTTTAGAAGTTTTCGTTTCAAAAATATCTGTAAATGTGATTTATTTCGTTTAGAATAGTAATATTAGATGATAACTATAATTTAAAATTAAAAATTTTGTACAACCGATTTCAATATAAATTATTAAGAATAACTCGAAAACTATTGGTCAGACCTTGTGACCACATGTGAAGCACCATCTTTCAAATAAAAAAAAAATCATCGAAATCGGTTCACGCAGTAAAAAGTTATGAGGTAACACACATAAAGAAACATAGTCGAATCGAGTACCGGTTCCTTTTTGAAATCTGTAGAAAATAGATTATGTTATTTTTCTATTTTATATTTTTGTTTTTTATATCTGTCTACAGATACGCGATCGATCGCGGCATGATCGTGATCCCGAAGTCTGTGACGCGTTCCCGCATCGAGCAGAACTTCCAGGTGTTCGACTTTAAGCTGGCGCCCGAAGACCTGCAGCAAATCGCGGAGCTCGAGTGCAACGGCAGGGTCTGCAGCATGGGCGAGTGAGTATACTCCTGCATTGACCCCGGTCTTTCATATCATAGCAAGGAGGTAGGCAGCGGCGAGCTACTCTGAGCACGTTTAGTCAAAAATATGAGTTTAGATGGAAATTGTGAAGGAAGTAATAGGTGAGTGGGTAGCCCATCGCCTACACCAAAGATTCGTAAAGTATGTTCCGTGGAACCTAAAGGTTCCGTAGAAATGTCACCAGAGTTCCGCAAAATATATTTATTTCTGCTTGTTAAATAATCTCACACTGGTACAAATATTATTTTGAATTGGTGCAAAATATGTGATGAGAGGAACCCATTATTACTATTATATTATAGATATGTAGTAAGTTGGCGAGAAATGTATATGATATTTCAATTGCACTGTCTATGATATGTAATCATTTGATGTGGGTTTCCATAAAATAAAAGGGATTCGGTGAGGTCCATCACCTTAAAAGTTTGGGAACTCCTGGCTACACAATCACAAATCCAATATCCCATCAGCCTTTTACGATTAGTCTATTAGCATCTAAGCTGCAGTTGCAGGCCTGGCAATCGTGGCAACTATGGCAATCCCCCCATGAGGCAATCTAGGAAGGCCAGTGTGGACTTTGATAGGATAATGAATTAATTTATGTGATAGTTACACCGCCATCTAGCGAAAGGCATAAGTTCTTTCTGAATTTTCCCATAGTAGCTAGCATTTATGTGTATGCACGAACGTTAACTCCCGGTGGGATTTCAACACTTTGTCCAACTAAATTGTGTGAAAAATAAAATAGTTAAAAAAGTTACGTTCAAAGTACATAAAAAATAATATAAATATATTTATTCAATTTTTATTGTAAATAGGGTAACACAAAGGGCGTGATATTGTATTACATAATATCCAAAGTTATAGACTATAATATCTATTCAAAAGATCGGTAACGCACCTGAGATTCCCTTGGTGTTGCAGTTAAGGTAGTCACATAGCCATCAGTTGAATCGCATATAAGAGAAGGCAAACGATGACCGGTCTTATATATAAAAATAATTAACTATTAAAATTTACTAAGTTATAATTTCAATATAAAAGAACGTAAGAAATTTTTATTTATATAATTATAGATTTTTGTGCATTCCTCCAAGTATAAATTAACCAACTGCTATGGTGCTTGGCACCCGTTCAAATGTGAATTCTTTCATCCTCGTTTAGTGTTGAACTTGGTTTCACTTTTCACATTTTGATTTGTGGAGGTCATTGATTTATTTTCTGTTTCTTTTCGGTATTTCGCAGTCTGAACTTTTTCCAACTTATTTTAAACGTGATAGAGCTATGCTGCTGCTGCAGCTAAACTTATAGTTGTAGAACGAATGGGTCGATTGTCAACCGGAGAAGGACCATGCTCTCACAGAATAGCAGCTTAATGCTGCTGTGTTTCGTTTGGTGTGTGGAGAACCGGAGACACTTTTTACTGGAAACGAGGCATTCCATCTTGGTTCTCAGCGGTGGCAATGCATTTGCTTTATAAATATAGATGTCTATGAGGCTCATAAACACTTTATCGCATAAGAACTGGTGACGTCGAGCACTTGTAAATTCGCACTGTCTCTCACGCACTGGCATTTTTTCAAATTTTATCTAATCCTAAATAATTTGTTTCAGCGTCCACCATCCAGACTACCCGTTCCACGACGAGTTCTAGAAGTTTCCTCGTTTTGAGTATTAATTTATTTTACTCTATTTTTTTTTTAAGTTCTTAATAAAGAATGTTTGCATTTAAATTGTTTTATTTATTTCCATAAATAGTCCTGCCAATATCAATATTTTATCTATTATTTATAAATCAAAAAATATCTTCGAGGACATAAATTTCACCCTGGATGAGGATGCAGGTGGCTTAGGACCGTGCTTTGTGGTATTCTTTGGGGGAGACCTCTTCAGCAGTGGGCTTGGGCTATAATGATTGCACTCGCGTCATGACATGCACTGGAAGCACCGAAGCGAAGTAACTGTTCTATCGTATCTTCTCAGACATGAGCCGAGGCCCAGCAGTGTTCTGGATTAACATACAACTGAAATACTTTAATTAGGACGACTTATTGCTCTATTTTTCTAAGTACTGTAAGACCCGGTCCTGGTGGTGTAAAACTCAGACCAGCATGGGTTTTAAAAGTTAATAACTTATCTCTATAAATAAAAATCAATTCCAGTCTCCTAATCTCGCAAAATGACTGGACCGATATTGATGATTTTTTTTTGTGTTGGAGCCCCTGCTAATAATGCTAAACGATTCGCAATTGAACCCGGTAGGCAGTGCTGTTGTCGGGATCAGAAATCACCAGTGCGAAGCTGAGGCGGGTCGCTAATATATAAAAATAATGTGCCAATTATTTACCTAGCATGTCGTTAATATTGAATTTGTGATTGTGTGGCCGATGAGCTAGCCACCTCAACACTTCCTCCACAATTTTCCATTCAAACAAAGGACGGATCGCTAGTAGTGAATAGTTTAAGGAATGCCACAAATCACGGTCCCACTTCATCTAGTTGGGGGTCGGCCAACACTTCGCTTTACGATACTAGGCTGCCATTTTTTCTTGTCCGTTGTAGGTTTTTCGCGCAATATGGCAGACCCATTGCCTTCAGCTTATTGTTGTACTCTGTGGATATCAGATAATACAGGGAAACTCTGAGCGTATCTCTCCATAGCACGCTGAGCGCTCGCTTGAGACAGCCAGAGGTAGGGGCACCATGTCTCTGATCCCTTACGTCATCACTGACAACACCCACTGATCGTTGAAAATTCGAAAAAACTGGTTGATATACTTAAATTAAGAAAAACTCTTTCATTTTTTAAATATTTATTTGTACGGCAATCGATTATCTTACATAGTGCCAACACAACATCTCAACGATAACGCGTCCGTCCCGTTCACACGTACCGCGCTAGAGCGAGACGAAACGCGACTCACAACCCTATGTACAAATTGCATATTAGAAAAACATAACCTATAACGATCAACATTAATCTAGAATTTAGCTAGGTGTCTTATCTAGGACTTAGAGGCTATAGGAAAAAAAATTACATCTAATATTTTACACAGCTGTAAAGGAAATCATTGTTCCCACTCTATAGACGGCGTCTCGCGGGAGATCATTGGCGTTGTCGCCCGTAGCGCAAAGTTGCCATATCACAAAAAACCACACCCGTTACTGCCACGTGGGGGTCGCGTTGGAATTTATTATATTTGTACGTGGTAGAGTTATATTATGGTTGTAGCATAAATGGGTCGGCTCGACCGGGGTAGGACCACGCTCTCATAATACCAGCGTGAAATAGCAGTTTAATGTTGCTGAGTTTCGTATGGTGAGAGAAACAGAGAGAACCTTTTTACTGGAAACGAGGCATTTCATCTTAGTCCTCAGGGGTGACAATGCATTTTGAGTATTTATTGAGGATAAATGTAGATGTCTACATGCCATAGTATCCACTTTTCATAAGGTGAACTCTGTGCTAGTTTGTCACCCTTATTCTATAAAATAATAATTATGTCACCATTTAAAAAAATATAATATTTGAAACTTAATTGATTTTAATATTGACAATATGAATCTACTTTAGTAGTGTTTTGGCAAGTTTCCACTTTTTTCAGTTTTCCACACAAGCGAGACGATTTTTTTTATTAATTGATACTATTTATTTCTTGAGGTGTCTTACATATTTAAATTGTATAAAGACAAATATCGAGGCCAGAAAAAAATTTTGGTAGCCCATAAAAATATTCGTTCACGGCGGAAAACTGACCTGATACAATAATTATGCCATCAATCGATTTGAGCGAAAATATAAATATTAACTCTACTTGTGAGTTTGTTGACGCTTCTTTTCACAAGGTAAAATAAAAATATTTGACCTTAACTTTTTATATTGAACAAATTTTTACTACCCACAAAATAAAGTAAAAAAAAAAACATTTTATTGACTTTTTTCGTGTTTAATCAAAAACAAAACCGTAATAAAGAATTTATGGATCTTTATTCATAACTTCAATTTAATTTATTTGGATTTGTAGACCCATATTTACTAACGAAAATATCGCCTCCCCCCTCCCCCCCTCCCCAAACAACATAACAATATATAATATATAACGTGGCGTAACGGGCACTAAGACTAGATTAATCTAAAATCAATTCTTCGTTGTAGGCGTTCCAATATTCAACAGGCCAGAGTACCCTCTAAACTGGTTGGCCATAAAGTCCCTGTACATGGCCAGTTGCCTCTGGTCCATTTGGCCCAAGCTACTGTAGAGGGCGCTCATGTACACGGGGTCCATGAACGGGGTGATGTTGGGAACTGATTTCTGCATCTCCATGATCTGTGCCAGGCTGTTCTGAGCCTTCGGGGGGTTACTCGGTAGAGTGTTGGTCTGGGAGTCCCTGGAGCCGGTGGAACTTGGGGACGTGTCGTCTCTCGTCGAATTGACTTGGTAGTTTGGTACCACGATCGGGTTCTTCTTTTGCAACCCCGAGGGGGATGGAGGTGGGTACGGTTTGGTGTAGTCTTTCGGCGGTGTGGGGGTTTTCGCTGACATAAATTTCCCGTTGGAGGAGCGCTTTTGGGGCGGTCTCTTGGGCGGAGTTTGTGATTTCGGGTTGACTAGAGTGATTTCCAAGTTCGAACCGACTACCGCTTTCCCGTCGAGTAGGGTGTAGTTCTTTGATAGGTTTTGAGCTGTTGGCGTTTTTGGTGGGGAGGACGGTAGCCGGACTATTTCGACCGCCGGCTTTTGTGGTGGGGTTTGGGATTTGCAGGTCAGGTCGAGGATATCTTGCGGTGGCGTTGTTGGGGTCTGGATACTTCTTTGCGGCTTAACTGGGGTCCCGTGGAGGATGTGGGGTGGGGGCATGAAAGGGTCTTTTGGGTTCCCGTAGACAGTCTTCTCGGGCCCGGAAGACCCAAAGATGCTGGTCGCCTGTATAACTTTGGGGGGTTGGACGCCATTGGGTATGTTTGGTGGAATTATGTTGTACATTTGAAATAGTTGAGCTTGCGTCATTATTTGGTGTTGCATGGCTGGATTCAGGATTATGGGAGTGGGGTTTATTAGCGGCGTTATGGGATTAGTGAGAACTGGTTGTATCGGCCAGGCCGGTGGGACAGCTGTCACTTCTAGACCCCGCTCTTTGAGGATGTCGAGTTTCTTCTTTTTGATTCCTTGCGGACTCTCTGGGTACTCATCAAGGTCTATTATTTCTGGCGATTTTGGTTTATAGGGTATCTGCGAACAATAGAAAAGAGTTACTTATCTGTCAAAGGCTTCATTATGCTGAAAAGAGCAATCCAACGTAACATTATGTTAATTTGTATGAGTTGCCACTTTGGTATCTCAACAACGGTTTCAAGTAGAATTTTGAGACTATGGCGGTCTTTCTGATACGGTAGGTATTATAAGTGTAAACGGCAACTGTGATTATACTGACAATGTCATAATTATAATATAAAGTCAAACATGGCTTATAATAGAATTCTCAGTGTTTGTGCGCAGGAATTATACGCTTTAATTCCCCTCTCTCCTTTCCACCATAGGACAACCAGGCGCTCGGCGGGTCTTCGTCCCTTTGTTGTCAGTATTCAACGCGTTAGAGCCAAACGGTTTGCTTTTTTCTTTGTAATGCGTACAGCAACGGAGTGGAATGATTTTCCGGAGTTTTATCTTTCCGTCCGAATACAATCTGAGCGCGTTCAAAGTAAGAGTGAATAGGCTTTTCTTAAAAGCTAAGACAGTGATTTACCATCTAGGACTTCATCACCGCTTATCACCAGGTGGGATTTTGGTCAAGCACTGCCAATAAGTAACAAAAAATTATGTCCTCCAGAATGAGTAAGTCCTGAGTAATTTGTACCAATAAGTAAAAAAAGTATGTAAAATAACTTCAAATAATGTAAAAGTAAAATGTTACCGTGAACGGGGACGGTGAGTAGTAGAGAATTAAGGTGGGTTGCAGTTAGTGACAGTTGCGCCGGGTGATGGTAAATTAAATTGTGAAGAGTAATAGCGGTGGGTGCTAGTGAATAGTGGTTAGTTATGGTAAGTGTTGGTGGTGGGTGTGTGGTGAGTGTTGGTGGTGGGTGTGTGATGAGTGTTGGTGGTGGGTGTGTGGTTAGTGTTGGTGGTGGGTGTGTGGTGAGTGTTGGTTGTGGGTGTGTGTTGAGTGTTGGTGGTGGGTGTGTGGAGAGTGTTGATGGTTGGTGGGTGGTGAGTGTTGGTGGTGGATGTGTGATAAGTGTTGGTGGTGGATGTGTGGTGAGTGTTGGTGGTGGGTGTGCGGTGATGTGTTAGTGGTGGGTGGGTGGTGGTGGTAGTGGGTGGTGTTAGGGAGTGTTGGTGGTGAGTGGTGGTGGTAGTGGTGGTACAGGTGGGTGGTGGTAGGAGCTGTAGTGGGTGGTAGGGTTGGTGGTAAGTGGTAGTGGTGTTGGGTGATGGTGGTAGTGGGTAGTGGTGAGTAGTGGTATGCGATGCGGTACCTCTACGATGTCGTCGTCCGCGGCGTGCGGCGGCCGGTGGATGTCGAAGTTGTTGAGCGCCGCGGCCGCGGGCACCGGCCCCACGCTCGCTGCACACGGTCCCACAAACATTATTTAATACATTGCACATGATGTTAACGACATCGTTACTATTGTTTTATAGAATAAGGATTTAA